TTTTTGGACCGACGCAGCGAAAACTTGCTCGAGAGCGACTCGCGGATCGAGAACGACTCCCGGGACACCGACTCGCGCGACGTGTCTTCCGACGCCATCGACGAGTTGTGCGTCAGCGCCATCGACTCGCGCCCAATCGCGATCGACTCGCGGTCCGCACCCGACGACGACCGCGTCCGGCGCTTGTAGACGCACGTGTCTTGGTCGACGCGGATGCCCCACTGCAGGTAGTCGGTGTTGGTCGCGGCTTCGAGGAATTCGTTGAGCTTCTGGATACGCTCCTGGATGATGCGATCCGTAAAGTTGCCAAAGAGCTGCTTGTTCGGGAGGTCCGGGATGTCCTTGCGGCGGTACCCGTTCTTGGTCTGCAGCGTTGTCGCGAGGTTCCGGAACGTCGAGTACCGGTGCCACACAAAGAGCGTGCCACGGCTGTTGGTCTCGATCTGGAGCTTGTACTCGACAAACTGACGGCCTTCGCGGAAGGTAATGCGGCTGTCGACCACCTTGGCGCTAATGAGAGACACTTCCTGGGCGCGGACGAGCTTGCTCTGGAGCGTGAGCACTTGGTGCTTAAGGCGCTCGTTCTCACGAAGAAGCTCCGCGTCGGCGTGCTCGGCCACGTATGCGGCCATCTTGGCACGAAGCGACTCGTTCTCGGCTTGAATGACGCGGTTGTGTGTCAGAGCGGCCATCGCTGCCTTTTGCGCTTCGACGGCCGCGGCCTCAGCCTCGGCCACGCGTGCCGCCGCCGACGTCAGGATGCTCTGCGACGATGCCGAGAGGCGGTCGCCGTCGTCGGAACTCGTGTCTACCGGTTCGTCGTCGACGTTGCTCGAGGTCCGGGTCTTGTCTTCCTCCATGATCTTGATCTCGGCCGCGCGCGTTGCCTTGTTTGCAGCTTGCACCTTGACTTCGGCAGCCTCGGCAGCGGCCTTGGCCTTCTGAAAGGCGACTTGACGCGCGAGCTCTGCAGCCTTGCGCGCGCGCTCGGCTTCGACGATGACTGCAAAGCGCTTGCGCGCCTGCATTCCGCGGACGCGCGTCTGGAGGCGGATCGTACCACGCTGCATGCGGCGGTACGCCTTCTGGGCCACGTGCATGCGGTACAGCGTCTGGACGCGGATCGCAGTCTGGCGCTTGGCGACGAAGCGCTTCCGGAGCACATATCCGCGCATGTGTGCTTGGATACGCGTGGCGTACTGACGCAAGACGACCGCGCGCTGGTCTTCGAGATGCTGCAAGAGGCCAGACGAGAAGTAGACCTTGGTCCGCCCGATCGCGAAGCGGGCGTTCCGAGACGAGGACTCGGAGATGCCGAGGATCTCGAGGAGGCCGTGCACCATGGCCTCGGGCGGCGCCGTCCGGAGCTTGGACGGGCAAATGATCGCAAAGCGGGAGGTAAACTCCTTGAGCGAGAGGCGGTTCGGGAACGCGGCGCGACTGATGCGGATCGCGGCAATGACACCCGCACACCGGAGCTGGTCCACGACCATGTGCCGATCAAACTCGGTCGCACTCTTGTTGGCGTTGGGCTTGATGCAGCGGACGTACTGCGTCGACGTCTTGGCGATCTGGTCCATGAGCTCGCCGAGCTGCTTCCGGAACGAACCCGCGATCGTGTTGCCGACGAGGAAGCCTTGGCGGCGCGACGGCGGCTTGGCGTTCTTGTCCTTCGAGACACCGCCCTTGGCGAGCTCGGGGAAGACGTCGCGGATGAACGACGACTGGCTCGACGCGAGGAGCTCCATGAGGTCGGCCGGGAGCGTGTCCTGTTTTTGTCGAGGAACTTGGTGCCGTCGTACGTCACGTCGCCGGCGTAGTGGAGGATCTTGAACTGCATCGGGTTGGTGCGGATCTTCTCATAGTTCTTGTGGTCCGCGAACGACTCGTTGACCTTGTTGACAAACATGCGGTCGTCGCCCTTGGGCTGGAGACCCGTCTCGTTGAGCATGTCGACGATGCCGAGCTTGCCTTCGATGAGGTCGAGGATCGGCTGGTTGTCCTCGAACGTCACCAAGTCCAACGGGATGCCCTCTTCGACGTACTCGGTCTGGACGGTCTTGAAGATGTCGCTGTTGAACTTTTGCTGCAGCTTCTCGTTGGCGTAGTTGATGCAGAGCTGCTCAAACCCGTTGTGGTCGAACGACTCGAAGCCAAAGATGTCGAGGAGACCAATGTGCGACGCGACGTTCTTGGTCGAGCAGATCGCGCGGTTGATGCGCCCGACGAGCCAGTCGAAGAGGCGCGAATAAATACCCTTGGCGAACGCGTCGCGGAGGTCAAAGGCCTGGTCGACCTTGAGCGGGATCGTAAACGTCTCGCCACGCGTCGTCATCGTGCGCTGGCAGAGCGTCTTGGTGAGCGCTTCTGGCGCCGTCTTGAGGAGCGCGGCGACGGCAGCGAGGTTCTCGGACGTCGACACCTGGCTGCTCTCAGCGTTGACCGCCGTGAACTCAACCTCGCCGAGGTTCAAGATGGCCGAGACGATCTCAAAGATACCGTGCTGCTCGCGGTCGTCGATCCCGATCGTGTCCATGGCATCCTTCGTCTCTTGGAGAAAGACCGAGTCGTCCGTGTTGTCGACGCGCGAGCCAGCGCCGACCTTGACAAAGTTGTAGTCGGCGACGTTACCCTCGAGGAAGAGCGACTTCTTGAGCTCCGACGCGAGCGAAAACACTTGGTAGAAAATGTGGTAGTTGCGCTCGCCCTGGGTCTGGCCGACGACGCGGCTCTTCTCGAGCAAGTACGTCTCGCAGCGCGCGCCAATGAGGTACCCGCTCGCGTCAAACTGCAGCTGCGCAAACTTGCCGAAGCGCGAACTGTTGTCGTTGCGCTTGGTCTTGGCATTACCGAAGGCTTCGAGGAGCGGGTTGGACTTGAGGACCTGGTCAATGACGGTCGAGCCCTTCTCGCCGCCGCCGGACACGGACGCCAAGTGGTGCATCATGATCTTGACCGTCTCCGTCTTGCCAGCACCGGACTCGCCGCTCACGAGGATACTCTGCTCGATGCGGTGCTTGCGCATGTCGAGGTACGAGGTGGCCGAGAGCGCGAACGGGTGCGGCCCAAGCTCTGCGCGCGGCTGGTCCAGGTACTTTTGGTAGAGATCCTATGGAACGGCGATGAGCAAGGTTGATGACCACCGAGTGTGATGCTGCGTACCTCGCCATAGAGGTCGAGCCATTTGTACGGGTTGACTGCAATGCAGATCTGGCCCGTGTACGTATACGGCGTGCTCTGCGCGTGGCGCAGCTGGAGGTTCTTCAAGACCGCCGGCTCGTGCAAATGGTTAAGCGTGCACATGTCCTCGACGCCGAGCTTCTCAAAGGTGTTGCAGATGGGCATCGCGGTGGCCGAGACCTCGCCCGCGAGCTTGGCGATCTCGCGCACGTCAAAGGTCTTGACAACGCCGTCTTCGGGGTCGTAGTCGTCGCCGTCGGCGATGAGGCGCACGGTGACCGTCGTCTCGGTCGGCTTCTCGATGACCTGGGCCTTCTTCCAGACCTCGTTGTCATGGGGCACCCAGACGAGCGCGCCCATGGACTGCTCACCGAAGGTCGACATCGATGCTGCGTCGACTGGCTTGATCCCAAGCTGCAATATGCAAGAATGAGACGAACTCCGGGACGCAGATCAGCCGGGCGCGACGTGGTTCGTGCTGCAGTCAGTAACAGCGGCGTCTGATTGGCTCGCTTCTTTCCTAATTGCCTTAGAAAAGTCCATTGCACCCGATGGCCCCAGCTGTATCGTGGGTAACACCGTGCGTAATGCACTTGTATGTGCGAATTCGGAGCCAAGCTTCCTTTTCCGAGCCAGGATGTCGACGATATTTTAAACTATTTTCGTGGCCGCAACTATTAAAATACAGTCCTCGACGTATCATTTAATACGATCGACCGACATCGTTTTATAAAAAATACGTGCCCGCAAAAGATATTAATTATTCATTGGCGGATACGTCTCGGGAACGAAATTTGCAGCGGGAGATGGCGCATGTCGCGCGGCCGCAGCTGCACGTCGACGACAGCGTCATGGAGGTTGCTTGGCAGCTCCCGCATGAGGTCGATGGATGGTCCAGGTTGATGGCCCAGGAAGATGCTGCATGTGCTGGCTTCCGTTTGAATCATGTAATGGCGACGCGAGAGTGGCATGCCAGCCTGTCACAAGCGCGGTACCAGGTACTCGGGAAAGACGGCCGAGGCCGTCGACTCGTAGCTCCCACTCGAGCGTCCGCTGACCAGGCGATGCATGGTACGCTGCGTTGTCTTTGGCCCATGCGCGCAATATGGTCGAGGACATGGACGGCGACGAGGCTGCGTTGGTCACATACCGCTCGCTTGCCTTTGCTGCGGCATGTGCAGCGTGGCGTGGGCGTGAGAGTGCGGTTCGCATCGCCATGCTCCGTACACACGATGATGTCGACGGTCGCTACAACTATCAGTCGCGCCTTGCCAGGGTGCAAGTGGTGCAAGTTGCTAGTGGCCGCAACGCTCCCACCGGCCACACACGTGCTTTTGCAGCGCTCGCCTCTTGGGCGCGATCGCTACCCTCTCGGGCCCTCGATGCGGCCGCTCCAAGACGCGGCAACGTATAGCGCGTGCAAAATGAGCTTGGTGCACCAATACGAGTTTGGTAGTCTCGAGCATCGCGCTCGAGCTCATCGCATTCGCCGACGCTCTACTGTACCATGCCTGGCGCCACTTGAAAGGCAGTCGACTTTTTGGCTTGGAGGTTGGTGCACCTGCGTTTGCAACTCGAGGCCGCAGCGTGATCCGCTTGCGAGTCCGTGATCCATGGATGGCGTTTCCGTGGCCCTTGGAGGAGCAGGTCGTACTCAGGACCCCTGAGTACTCGTACCATCGTGCTCGGAGGGGAATATTCATGTATGATCCACCCCTGGTCGTACTTGAATCGTTGTCCAGAGGCTTTGACGTAGGTGATTCCACTCCCGGACGCTACGCTTGGTACACACTGGCACCGGACCTCCTCAGGCTCGACCTGACATTCGAGCACCAATGTGGCTACGAGATAGAGCGCTGCGTCCATGCGTCACGACCATGGTCACGACTAACATGCATGCGTGTATGTACATTCGTTCGCCATGAGCCGCGAGACGATGCACCCTTCCTCCCGACCCTTACCCACTGAGGTCGCCAGCAACGACGGCTACCACGCATGGGTTCTTCGCATGGGCTCTTCGCGTGGTCTCTTCGCGTGGTCTCTTCGCATGGCCTCTTCGCCTGGGCTCCTTGCATGAGCTCATCCCATGCCCTCCACGTATGGCCTCCTCGCGTGGCGTCGTGGCGTCGCCAACCTCGGCGCCAGTGCTTGGTCGAGCAAAACGCAAATGGCGGCAAGTGACAAAACCTCTGGGAATGCGTGGGATATCAAGTATAAGAGGTTCCCAAGCCGTTTGTGTGGTGCGAGCTCATTCCGGAATTGGCATCGGAAGGATGAGCACGACGCAGTTCTCGTACTCGTCTGCGCGCCTGCGCCGGGTCGAGTACCTCCAGTTCGGGGTCTTCTCGCCCGAGGAGGTCCGCGCCATGAGCGTGACCAAGCAGATCAAGGTCAACGACCGCATCATCCCCGATGGCATCACGCGGCCCGAGACCTTTATCAATGGCCAGCCGGTCATTGGTGGCATCGGCGACCCGCGCATGGGCACGTGCGACTTCCGCGCGCGCTGCAAGACGTGCGACTGCACGTACAGCGGCAGTGGCGCCAAGGTCAACGACTGCCCGGGCCACTTTGGCCACATTGAGCTCGCGCGGCCCATGTTCCACGTGGGCTTTATCAAGGTCTGCAAGCAGATTCTGAGCTGCATCTGCTTCCACTGCTCGAAAGTGCTCAGCGACGAGCGCGACCACCGCTTCCGCGCAGCCATGCGCATCAAGAACGGCCAGCGCCGCCTCAAGGCTGTCTATGAGATTTGCAAGAACAAGTCCATGTGCGAGTACGGCGAGGAAGAGGACATGAAGAAGATGCGCGACGACCTCAACATTGGTCTTCAGGGCGGTCTCCAGAACGAGCATGCGCCCAAGGAAGGCGGCCACGGCGGCTGCGGTGGTCTCCAGCCCAAGTACCGCCAGGTCGGCATCAACCTCCAAGTCGAGTTTCCCGAGCAGATGGAAGACGTGCCGGGGTCGGGCGACCGCAAACAGAACCTTCCGGCTGCCAAGGTGCTCTCGATCTTCAAGAACATCACGGACGAAGGCTGCATCGCGCTCGGCTTTGACCCGAAGTGGGCCCGTCCTGACTGGCTCGTCCTCACGGTCATCCCCGTGCCGCCGCCGCATGTGCGCCCGTCCGTCGCCATTGACGGCCAAGCGCGTGGTGAAGATGATCTGACGCACAACTTGGCGTCCATCGTCAAGGCCAACCTCGCGCTGCTCAACTGCGTCAAGAAGGGCGAGCCGTCGCACATTATCTCGCAGTTTGAGCAGCTGCTGCAGTTCAACCTCTCGACGTTTGTCAACAACGAGCAGCCGGGGCTGCCCCAAGCGCAGCAGAAGAGCGGGAAGCCGCTCAAGACAATGCGCCAGCGCCTCCGCGGCAAAGAAGGGCGCATTCGCGGCAACCTCATGGGGAAGCGCGTCGACTTTTCGGCGCGTACGGTCATCACGGCCGACCCCAACTTGGCGATTGACCAAGTCGGCGTGCCTCGCTCGATCGCGATGAACTTGACCGTGCCCGAGCGCGTGACGCCGTTCAACATGAAGCTCATGCACGAGCTCATCGCCAAGGGCCCGCTCGAGCACCCGGGTGCCAAGTACATCATCCGCGAGGACGGCAACCGCATCGATTTGCGCTACATCAAGAGCAAGAGCGACCTCGCGCTCAAGTGCGGCTGGATCGTCGAGCGCCATCTTCGCGACGACGACTACGTGCTCTTCAACCGGCAGCCGAGTCTCCACAAGATGAGTATCATGGCGCACCGCGTCAAGGTGCTCGACTGGTCGACGTTCCGGCTCAACATTTCGGTCACGACGCCGTACAACGCCGATTTCGATGGCGATGAGATGAACTTGCATGTGCCCCAGGTGCGTCCCTCGTATCCTCCTCGTTCTGGTGGCGCTCATGATGGATCATGCTGCGCAGAGCATGACGGCCCGCGCCGAGGCGCAGGAGCTCATGATTGTGCACAAGAACATCATTACGCCGCAGCGCAACTCGCCGGTCATGGGTATCGTGCAGGACTCGCTCCTCGGCGTGCAAAAGTTCACCAAGCGCAACATCTTCATCGAGAAGGATCTCGTCATGAACCTCCTCATGTGGGTCGGCACGTGGGACGGCCGCGTCCCGACGCCGGCGATTCTGATCCCCAACAAGAAGCACGTGGGCCAGTACCGCCCGCTCTGGACGGGCAAGCAGATGTTTTCGACCATCTGCCCCAACATCAACTTTATTGCGGTCTGCTCGACGCACCAATCGGACTCGAACAAGCGCGACTACGACCTGCCGTTCCACCGCAAGGTGAGTCCGCGCGACACGCACGTGATTGTCCAGAACGGCGAGCTCCTCGCCGGTATCATTGACAAGAAGAACATTGGTACGGGCGCCGGCGGCCTCATCCACAACACGGTGCTCGAGCTCGGCCACGACGAGGCCAAGCGGTTCCTCGGTGCGACCCAGCGTCTCGTCAACTGCTGGCTCGTCGCGCACTCGTTCACGGTCGGCATTTGCGACACGATCGCCGACGTCAAGACGCTCAAGCAGATTGTCGACATTATCACGAACGCTCAGTCCAAGTGTCGGACCTCGTGCTCTCGGGGCAAAAAGGCAACCTCGAGCTCCAGCCCGGCCGTACGATGATTGAGACGTTTGAGCAGTTTGTCAACAAGGTGCTCAACTCGGCGCGTGATCAGTCGGGTCGCGAGGCCCAGGACTCGCTCGACGAGACCAACAACATCAAGGCGACCGTCACGTCGGGCTCCAAGGGCTCGTACCTCAACATTTCGCAGATTATCGCGTGCGTCGGGCAGCAAAACGTCGAAGGCAAGCGCATTCCGTACGGCTTCAACCACCGCACGTTGCCGCACTACGGCAAGGACGACCTGGGGTACGTCCTACGATGTGTTGGAGATGTGTAGCTGATGCGATGTAGGCCCGAGTCGCGGGGCTTTGTCGAAAACTCGTACCTCAAGGGCCTCACGCCCCAAGAGTTTTTCTTCCACGCGATGGGTGGTCGCGAAGGTCTCATTGATACGGCCGTCAAGACGGCCGAGACGGGGTATATCCAGCGTCGTCTCGTCAAGGCGATGGAGAGCGTCATGTCGCGCTACGACGGCACGGTGCGCAACTCGCAGGGCGAGATCATCCAGTTCCTCTACGGCGAGGACGGCATGGACGCGGTGTGGGTCGAGAAGCAGTCGTTTGACGCGCATAAGCTGCCGCCGGGCCAGTTCAACGCCAAGTACCAGCTCAAGCCGGAGGACCCGCTTTTGGGCTGCGTGCCGCACTGCCCGGAAGAGCTCTACATGGACCCGCTCATCATCTCGGACATCCAGACCAACCCGCACACGCAGCAGCTGTTGCGGGAAGAGTACGCGCAGCTCGGCGTCGACCGGGCCAAGCTGCGACTCATTTTGGCGTCGCGTGGGCCGGGCCAAGAGTCGGACAACGTGGTGCAAGTGCCCGTCAACATCAAGCGCCTCGTGCAAAACGCGCAGCAGCTCTTTAGCATTTCGACGCTGCAGCCGAGCACGCTGCACCCGCGCCACATCATTGAGGGCGTCCGCGAGCTCTGCTCGTCGATCGTGGTCGTCAAGGGCGACGATCCGCTGAGCATGGAAGCTCAAGAGAACGCGACGCTGCTGTTTCAGATTCTCGTGCGCTCGACGCTCGCGGTCAAGCGTGTGCTCCTCGAGTTCCGCCTCAACGACTCGGCGTTCGAGTGGCTCATGGGCGAGATCCAGAGCAAGTTTCTCGCGTCGCTCGTCGCGGCCGGCGAGATGGCGGGTGTCGTCGCCGCGCAGTCGATTGGCGAGCCCGCGACGCAGATGACGCTCAACACGTTCCACTACGCCGGTGTGTCGGCGAAGAACGTGACGCTCGGTGTGCCGCGCCTCAAGGAAATCATCAACATTGCCAAGGACGTCAAGACGCCGTCGATCCAGATCTACCTCAGCGGCGACTACCAGGAGGACGCTGAGAAGGCCAAGTCGCTCCAGGCGCTGCTCGAGTACACTACGCTCATGGACGTGACGGCCAACACGGCCATCTACTACGACCCGGACCCGACGTCGACGGTCGTCGAGGAAGACCAGGAGTTTGTCGCGAGCTACTATGACGTGATTGACGAGGACACGCCGATCGCGCGCTCGCCGTGGCTGCTCCGTATCGAGCTCAACCGCAAGATGATGGCGGACAAGAACCTCGAGATGAAGGAGATTGCGGCGCAGATCGAGTCCGAGTACGGCCAGGATCTGAGCTGCATCTACACGGATGATAACGCCGACAAGCTTGTGCTGCGCATCCGCATCATGAGCGACGACGAAGACAAGCTGCAGCGGTCGGGCGACTCGAGCGTCGGCCAGGAAGACGACACGTTCCTTAAGCGCGTCGAGCACAACATGCTGACGCAAATGAAGCTCCGCGGTGTGCCCAAGATCAAGAAGGTGTTTATGCGCGAGAACCAAATGACCAAGTGGGACGAAGAGAAGGGCTTTGTCATGAAGAAGGAGTGGATCCTCGATACGGACGGCACGAACCTCCTCGATGTGATTTGCTTTGAGAACATTGACGCGACGCGCACCATCTCGAACGACATTGTCGAGATCATCGAGGTCCTCGGTATCGAGGCCGTGCGCCGCGCGCTCCTCAACGAAATCCGCGCCGTCATTTCGTTCGATGGCGCGTACGTCAACTACCGCCATCTGGCGTGCCTCGCCGACGTCATGACGTTCCGCGGCCACCTCATGGCCGTGACGCGCCACGGTATCAACCGCGTCGACTCGGGCCCGCTCGTGCGCTGCTCGTTTGAGGAAACGGTCGAGATTCTCATGGACGCGGCCATGTTCAGTCAAGGCGACGAGCTCGCGGGCGTGACGGAGAACATCATGCTCGGCCAGCTCGCGCACCTCGGCACGGGCGTGATGGACCTCATCTTGGATGCCAAGAAGCTCGCGGACGCGATCGAGTACGACGCGTCGGAGATGCAGCAGGTCATGCACGGCTTTGCGAAGGAGTGGACGACGCCGGACGTCAACACGCCCATGATGACGCCGTGGGGACAGACGCCCATGTACGGCACGCCCGGCTACAACACGCCCGGCTTCCAGACGCCCGGCAGCGTCGCGGGGTCCCCGTCGGCGAGCCCCATGGGTGCGTTCTCGCCGTTCGCGCCGTTCTCGCCGTCCAACCCGAGCTCGCCGGGCTACATGGCCAGCCCTGCGTATGTGCCCAACAGTCCCGGCCTCAACCCGACGTCGCCCAACTACAGTCCGACGTCGCCGGCGTACTCGCCGACCTCGCCAGCCTACTCGCCCACGTCGCCTGCGTATTCGCCCACGTCGCCTGCGTACTCGCCGACCTCGCCAGCGTATTCGCCGACCTCGCCAGCGTATTCGCCCACGTCGCCAGCTTACTCGCCCACATCGCCGGCGTATAGTCCGACGTCGCCAGCGTATAGCCCGACGTCGCCTGCTTACAGCCCAACGTCGCCTGCCTACAGCCCAACGTCGCCCGCCTACTCGCCGACGTCGCCTGCGTATTCGCCGACCTCCCCGGCGTACTCGCCCACGTCGCCTGCGTACAGCCCGACGTCGCCAGCGTACTCGCCGACCTCGCCAGCGTACTCGCCCACGTCGCCGGCGTATTCGCCCGCGTCGCCCGAGTATAACCCGACCGAAGGCTACAACCCGACGGACCCCAAGTACAGTCCGACCGAGGATTGAGCGTAGAGAGAGGTCTTCGCGATGAATAAGTGTGTAATATTGGATGATGATATTCACGTTGTGTGCCTTGACTCAATCGATGAAATGGACTTACTATAGTTGGTCGAACGAACTAGGTCACAAAATACCTAACCACAACCACCAGATGAGCAAATCGAGGATCGAGGCGCGCGGCGCGTACGTGCGCAGCTTGGTATTGTGGCCCGGAACGTTGAGCATCTTGTGGTACTCAAACTTGAACGCGTTCGGGTCTGTGTTCTACGCGTCAAAACAAATAAAACCTAACCCTTGTTCACTGTGTACCTTGATGCGCGTGTACGTGGTCTCGCTGAGGTGGATGCGGCCGGGGACGCCAGAGCTCTCGAGACTCTGCGCAATGGCGACCGTCTCGCCAAAGAGGTGGTAGCGAGGGTCCTTGATGCCCACGACGCCGGCGACGACGCGTCCCGAGTGCACGCCGATACGAATGTTGAGGTTCGGGTTGGACGAGTTGCGCCGCAGCACGGGCAGTGTGTTGAGCATGTCGAGACCTGGACACACAAGTTGCACACGTTAGTCAAGGAAGAGAAACGTACCCGCTTTGAGGATCATGATGGCGTCGTTCGTGGTGACGAGGGGGCAACCGCCGACGACAAAGTATGCGTCGCCGATGATCTCGACCTTGTACAGATCGCGCTTCTCCGAGATCGTGTCGAAGCGCGTGTACATGTCGTTGAGAAATTGCACGAGCTACTCGTCCGTGGATCGCTGCGACGAAACATTTTGTTAAAGTACCTCCATGGCCGACACGCGGGACGAATACGCGGTGAAGTTGACCATGTCGGTGAAGAGGATCGTAACGTTCTCGAACGTCTCGGCGATCTACGCCCGATCGATGAAAATGGATGAAAATGCTTGAAAATAATGAAAAGCAGCGTCCTGTACCGTCACTTCGGGGCTGGCTTTGAGCTGGTTGACGATGCTCTCGGGCAGGAGATTCCGAAGCAATTTATCGACACGGTTCTGCTCTTCTAACAGTTTGGCTTGCTGTGCGTTGAGCACGAGATCGCGAAAGTGGTTGACGCGCTCTTTGAATTCGCACGTAAAGACGACCCAGATCTGCGGCACGAAGAAGATGATGACGTAGAACGCGTTGCGGAGGCAGAGGAGGAGCATGTCCCGCGACGACTCGGTCGTTGTTTGGCCTGGAACGATGGCGCTGCTGAGCGCAATGTTGGAGATGAGGTACATGATGAGAATGACGAGCGCGGCCATGAACCGAAACACGAATGCGAGCATGCTAAAGTGACACTGGTACAAGACGAGCGTCGAGATGTAGGCGTAGCCGCGCGATTGCATCGCAATGAGCTCCGTATTCCAGAATGCCGAAATGAGCAACAGGACGCACACCGAGCTGAGCTGGCGGTACTTGAGAAACGTCTCGGTGAACGTAAAGAGGAGAAAGCACGTGCAGACCGGTATCGTGCAGCAAATATTGATGATGAAGAGGATGTTGGCGGCCTGGAACTGCCGACCATTGAGGAGCGCGACGCTCGAGTACATGGCCTGTACGGGCTTGACGAGAATGCACAAGAGGATGGACGCGCGGAAGAAGCGCATCCAGCGCTTCTCGTTCTCCTTGCGGTACATGAGCTCGAGCGTGTTGTCCGTGTTGATGTAGAAGAAGACGTTGCGCTTCGTCATGTCGGCTGGCAGCTCCATGAGCGCGGTTGCATCCGTCATCGTCGGCGCCGCGACCTTTTCTGTCGTGTAAAAGGCCGCTGTCGATTCGCGCAACGTGTTTTGCTTGTGCTCCGAGACCAAGTCTTTGGCGGCGGACGGCGACATGAGCATCGAGCTCGACGACGATTTCTTCCGCAGCAGCTTCATAAAGGCGGTCCGACCTTCGACTTCGGCTGGTGGCGCCCCGTACCCAATCTACATACAGAATTAGGATGGAACAGCGCTATGGGTCGAGCAGTGTACAGCGTTTAGGGTCCGTTTGGATAGATCGGGGATGTTGCCACCACTGCCACGGACCGACGCGGGGTCGCGAGGGGCGACAGCACCCGGCTTGGCCACGATGAGAGAGGGTGGATTCGCGATGGCAACCGTGGGTGCGACAATCATCACGGGCTGCGCTTGCCGGGGCACGCCGATTTGGTGGCCGCGGAGAAAGAACGTTTGCATGTCGCCGCGGCCTTTGACGGGAATCGTGCCCCGGTGCTCCGTCACGTACGCGTGCTTGATCGCGTCGTGCGTCGCCTCGGTGAGCTGGATGTGCCCCGGCAAGTTGGTGCTCTCCATGCGCGACGAGACGTTGACCGTGTCGCCAAAGAGCTACGCGATCATGATCGATTGTTGATACATTGAAAGGTCACCTTGAAGCGCGGGTTGCGGATGCCGACGACGCCGGCCATGAGAATGCCCGTGTTGATGCCGATGCGAATGTTGATGTCGCCAATGTTCTTGGCCCACTTGAACGTCTTGCGGATGTGCGCGCGGAGGTCGGGCATGGCTGCAATCATATCGAGCGCGAGGTTGGCGATCAAGATCGCGTGGTTGGTCATGCGGTCCGGACACCCGCCCGAGACCATGTAGACGGCGCCGATCGTCTCGATCTTGTGCACCGAGTGGTAGTCGACGAGCACGTCAAACTTGGAAAATATCGTGTTGAGAAGCTCGACGACTTGGTCCGGGTCGAGCTGGCCCGAGATCGTGTTGAAGTCGCAGACCTCGCAAAAGAGCACGGTCACGGACGCGTACTCGTCGGCAATGAGTTCTCGGCCGGCTTGGAGCTGGCTCACGACGGAGGCCGGTAGCATACTCCCGAGGAGCGACTTGGACCGGAGCTCTTCTTGCTCGAGCTAATGTGTGATTGCATGTCATCGCTTGGTGTACATGAAGTGTTGCTCCATGTACCTGGTGCTGCTGGGACAAGAGAATGGTCTCGCTCATGTAGCTCACGCGGATCGCAAACTCGCGCGATTGACTAGAGAAGCTATGAGGGTGCAACATGCCGCGAATCGTCTACCTCGGGTACGAGATGAGGGCGAAGAAGAGAAGCGCCCAGAGCCACTCGCGCTGGAACGTGTCGATCTTGTCCGAGGAGAGCACGCCGCCGTAGGCGAGCGCCGCGTACATGCCGAGGAGCAGCATGTTGAAGAGCGCGGCGTGAAGAAACCGGATCGGCGTAAAGCTGTAAAAGTACATGATGACGAGGCAGAGCCACGAGACGCCAAAGTCGAAGGTGAGGAGGTTGTAGACGACGGGGTAGAAGGCGAGCGCGATGTGCGAGACCCACGTCCAGAGCATGTGCACCTTGTACTGCGCGCGGTAGCCCGACCAGAGGTTGATTAGGAGCAGCGGGATGATGACCGCGAAGCGCAGCACGAGCGTGATGATGAAGGCCAGCTTGGCATTCGGGTTGTTGAAGCTCATGAGGTCGGTCGTAAACATGTTGCCGTAGCCTTCGATGAGGCTCAGGTAGTCGTAGATAACCGTGCCCGAGAGGAAGACGACCCACGCCCAGATGCCTCGGATGTGCAGCTTGTGCTGCAGCGTCGCGTAGTGCTGGGCGAAGAGCGACTCGACCTCGTGTATGACCGCGTTGGTCGAGAGCCGCATAAAGTACAGCGATAAAAAGTGCAGCGCGACGTCGTCCATGCTAAAGTCGTCGTCTTCGAAGAGCTTGCGCAGCTGCTTGAGCGCGGCCTCGCCACGCGGGTCTTCGGCGGCTAGCGTCCGCGCCGACGGCAGCCGCGTCGCCGAGGCCTTGGACTCCATATCCGCAGGAACACTGAGTCGAACCGTTTCGAGCCGAAACGAACCGACGCCATCTTTTAAAACGGAATGTTTATTTACATGGACAATATGTATAGAATGTTTATATTGTGCGCTTAAGCCTTTCTACGGAAAATAGTGTATGTGCTGCGGGCCAAAATGCCACCAGGTTTTTTTTCAAAACCCATATATATATGTCGTGAAAACTGGCCAACGGTGGCGTGTTAAATCGATAGAAAACAGTGTTCCCTTTGGAAATATCCTTTTTCTGGGTCCACAGGCATCCCAATTCGGCCTAGTTTGACCTACCGGATTAGAAACCGGAGTGTGTTCCGAGGAGCAGCGCTTTTTTCGTAACAGCAAATACGCAACCGCCGCCCGACGTCGATGGTAGGGCACCCGCGCACAAGCCACGGCTGCATCCATCTCACCTAGCGCACTAGGCGCAGCGCATCAAAGGCTCACCCTAGCGTCTGCGCACGACGCGAGCGTCCGTACCGCCGTCGATGGCGCATATGAAGCCTTGCGTCGTGACCCGACCAATGCCAAGCACAG